TGTTCGACCAATATTTAGTAATGAACAACAAAAAATTCATTTAATTGATTCACGCCATCCATGTGTTGAAAAACAAGATAATATTAATTTTATTTCGAATACAGTTGAATTAGATCGAAATACACATCGATTTCAAATAATTACAGGTAGAATTTCTATAATAAAATTTTATCATTGATTTTCATATTTATTTTTGTAGGTCCAAATATGGGTGGAAAATCAACATATATACGACAGGTAGATAAACTAATTTACTAATAAAAACAAAAAAAGTTTAATAAAAATAAAAATTATTTTAGGTTGGTGTTATTCAATTAATGGCACAAATCGGATGTTTTGTACCATGTAAATCTTGTCATACGACTATTGTTGATTGTATTCTTGCTCGACTTGGTGCTAATGATGATTTAGCTCTTGGTGTTTCAACATTTATGTCTGAAATGTTAGAAATGTCAACAATTTTAGATATTGCAACAAGCAATTCACTTTTAATTATTGATGAACTTGGTCGAGGAACAGTAAATGACTATATATCAAACTTTTTTCAGTTAGATTAAATATATATTTTTTCTTTTCTAGTCAACTTATGATGGATTTGGTCTTGCTTGGGCTGTTGCACATTATATTTCTATGACAATAAAATGTTTTTGTTTATTTGCAACACATTTTCATGAATTGACATCAATTGAAGATGAACAACCAGGTATAATACAAAATTTTCATGTTGATGCTTTACCAGTTGATGATAAACTTGTTTTACTTTATAAATTAAAACCTGGTGTATGTGATCAAAGTTTTGGGTTTGTATATTTAATAAAAGAAGCACAAGACAATATTTAAACGAAAGATTTTTTTATTTAGTATTCATGTAGCACAATTAGCACAATTTCCTGAGCATGTTATTGAATTTGCTAAAAAACGTGCACAAGAATTAGAAGAATTTAATAATAATGAAAATGAAAATGGAAAAGAAAATATTCGACATGGATTTGATTCAAGTGTAATGTTTTTCTATTAATATAATATAAAAAATTATATTATTTTGATTTTTAGGAATCAGTTGAATTAATTTGGGGTGAGCTTGAAAAGTTAAAATCGATCAATGATGAAGAACAAGCACGTACAATTGCTCTTAGTCTTTTGAATAAAGCAGAAAGTGTTGGTCTACTGTGATTTCTTATTGTCTGATATGTACAAAAAAAAAAAAAAAAAAGACAAGTCATTTATTTTTTCTTCTATTATTATTTATTTTTTGTTCTTACAATTGAAAGATTCTAATAAAAAAAAATGTTATCAATCAAGACATGAGTGAAATGTTATTCATAGATGAAATCAACTCTTTCGAACACGATGATTATATATATATCAATGAACAAGTCGTTAAAAAAAAACTGAAAGTAATATAAAAGCTGTTCGCATAATGTCTGCGAACTTAAGGCCCCCCGCCCCCACTCAAAAATCGATCTCAGTCCAGGTACGTTCAAATGGGCTGAAATTTGGAGCATATGTTGGGGCTGGTTTGGGAAGACTGTGGTAAAATTTTCAGCTCGATACCACAACGTTTGACTGAGATATTCACCAAACAAGGGTCAAAAATAGGTCATTTTGGTACAAGGATTTCTCAGTCCGGATTCGTCCAACATATTTAAATTTTTTTTTGTTAGAAAGAGTATGTCAAGATGCAGAGCACTACGGAGTCCTTTTTTTTAGATTCTTACAAATGTGAAGGTCTCCAATAGCACTACTTTCACGCTCAAAATAGATCCAAGTATATATAAAATGGCGAGCAATGTTTGGGCACACGAGATCAGCAGTTGCACTATGTGCATAGCGCTCAGANTACTCATTCGATTTTTATTTAGTGTGTGGGTATGAGTGCGACTTGGAGTATGAGTAATGAGAAAACTTATATTCACACCCAAATGACCAGGCAATACTGAAAGCGGTGTTTCCCCAAAAATGATTTCGATTCATCTAAAATATCATGATAAATCAATGTTCGTTATCGTTACTTCCATTTTGCTCACTCTGGCACATTTTCGTTTAATTTTATCTTGATTTTACATGCTATTACTATATCTGAATGTCATGTAATTACTCAGCCCAGCCAAAATACAATAGAATATGAAAATGTGTGTTAGGTTTCTTGCTTTGTAGTTTTTCCTATCTCATGTGATATTCTTTTGTCTACTGAAATTCAGTGCATTGATTTTAATCGCAATAGTGACTCAAAATGAGTTCGTAGCACAGATGTGGTCGTAATGCAATTCAATCTATTATGATCATATAATTCCAAATTTCGTAAAAAAAATTAATATTGTCGTTGTTATGTTGTAATATTAGAATTTTCTTGTTCTACTCTTCATATCAAGCTTCAGATTATTCTTGATCTAAATTGAGTAAGACATGTGATCTTACTCTTATCAACTCATGGATTTATAGTGATATGAGCTTGAAATAACATGCTTTATCTCAATCATATTTTTTTTATTGGAAATGTTGAATATAGACCAGTCTCGCAGATAAATATAAAGAAGAAAAGAAAAACTCTATGTGAGAAGGAACGAGAACAAAAATAAATAATTTAAGATGTCTGATGCTTGATCAACCATTGATGTTGAAATATTATCTTTCTTTCATGTTAAATCATCATTAACAATACCATGATGATTTGCACTTCCAGCTCTACTAACTGATTTAAATTATTTAGTCCACCGGTTTCTGATCGTCATCATCGTCATGATCCAAATGATTAAGTAATGGAACTAGAGCATTACATTGATTATTATTGGATGGTCGAAATAAAAACATTTTTAAAAAGAGCAAAGAAACTCAAGCCTTGCAATTCGTAATAAATTTAATTACAAACTAATATATTCAGCAAAATAAATACTATTTGAAGTTTGTGTAGCTATTCAAAACAGATAATCACCATCAGTCCATGTTCGTAATCTATTACTGTTTGTTTCTTTAAAATAAATACTAATAGATATTGTTCATCATTTGATGTTATTATCATTTTGGTCAGCAGCACGGCGGCGAAGAATGTTATTTTCTAAAATAGTCAATTAAAAATTTACTTGAAAATAAATATTTAATTTTACTTTGATTTGCAGTCATTTGTTCATGTTCATGTTTCGAAATGTGTTCTCTTAATTCGGCAGCTTCTTCTGATGAGATTACTGGTCAGCCTATATTAGTATATTCATCAAAATATTATTCTCTTGGATAATTACGATCAACTTTTTACATCGTAAACTCACTTAGCTCTGCTTGTTGGGCGTGGATGGATGTGCATAAAAATAAGACCCGCAACCACACCCACTCACACATCAACGTAAAGCGACGACGCTTGTTTTTACTATCAAGTTTTTTCCTATGCCATCTTTCCCTAGTCTCAATCCTGTTCATTTTTTGAGAAATCCTGGAAAGATCTGTCAGAATCCTGAATCTCAAGGATCTTTCCAAGTTTTCTTCGGAATCCTGTCTCAATTCCTGATAATTTCTGTTTTCAGGATTTCTCATGGTGACATAGGATCCTGTCCAGGATTTCTTCGGGTTTCTGCCCAGATTTTTTTCTAAATGATGAGTGCAGGATCCTCTCAAGATTTATCAAGGTTCAGACAGGATCTAATCAAGATCCTGATACAAGGATTCGATCAATTGCAGCTGAATCTGAGGAGGATCACAACAAGAATCCAACAGAAGGATGAACCACTGGCTGAGACTATTAGACAATATTAGATGAGCCCGCATTCACACACAGCACCAAATAATGTTTCCAGAATGATTCTCGGTTCACAAAAATAGTTGTCAACTACTAAAGATCCTGATTGAATCCTGTTTCGTCAGAGTGTTGAAACTCAGTGGCTACATAGTTTCTTCAGGAAAAAATAGCAAATCCTTCAAGGATCCTGACTGGATCCTTTAAGAATCTGACACGAAAACATCAAGGATTTTCCCTAGGGTTACTTAAGATGGCTGTGAAAGACTGTAACAAGTAGGAAATCAGTTGTTGTGCCAAATAATACTTTTCTTATCATAGAATCAATTGCTCTTAATTACCTTTGTAGATATTAGGAGTAGATTAATTACATAGTCCATATGGTTACTCTTTCGTACATATTAGTTACATCTTTATTACTAATTATCAAATGTGATTTTCAACACTTATTAACAGAATAATATTATGTTTCTGTCAACTATACATGTTTCACTCAAAGCACAATTCAACAGCTCAGAAAATTGATATATTTATTTTATTCCGTTTGTTTTTGCAATGCAACCAATACGTTTAGAAAAAACGTGCAAATTTAATTCAGATGTTGTGAGCATGGTTTACAATAATGTCATGAGTGTATAATGATGAAGCCATCTGAAGAGTATTACATTTTTTTAATGAATGAAAGAGTGCAACACACATATGATCAAATTTACTAGTTCGAGAGATGTCGCATATTAACGAATCCTGAGAATACAATTTTATTCTAACAATTATTTTAAAACATGAGCAAAACATGAGCATGAATACTCAAACACAAAAAAGGGAAGCTTTCAATCTATAATAAGCATTAACCAATAAAATGCCAGCTGGAAAACTCATACATTGTGCATGAGTAATGTTGTTTGCTCTGGATTCTTCTGTCATTCTACTTCAAATGTTGAGTACAGTAGATTGATGAAGTTACTTGCTGTTACTTATAATAATCAATATATCGTTGTTTTTATTAGCAAAAATATTCCTTAGCATTCTCGTAAGATTCGTTTAGTAGTTAGCATACTAAACACAAGAACGATTAAAAAATGAAAGAAGCATCAATATTATTTTTCCCTTTCGATGACATAAATTGCATATATCTGTAGGAATCAGCAGCCTGCCCACATTCATTTTTTTTTCTTTTGTTTTTCTTTCAAGTCATATTATTGCCTATTTTTTTATGTATAAGTAACATGTAAAAATTGAATTCTTTTTAGATCTATTATACTATCGAATACAACATATGACTACGCAACCTTCTGATTCTGCACAATCAACAAACTCATCAAATAAACATGTATTGGAACGATCAATTATTCAACAGCCACCCAACTCTTTAGGCTTCCAAGTTTCACCCGTTTTAATGTATTGAATATTTTTTAACTCAACTAGACTCGAAACTTTTCTTTTTCTCTATTTTATAGAAGACACGAAGATCGTGTTAAACTTGGTCATTTCGGTTGTTTGAGTGATTGTATGGAATTTATAGTTAAAAGTCGTGTTATTCAAAATCAGTGTTGCTCTGAAATGAGACGCATCTTAGGCGGCATATCAAAAACTATGAATGATGATCAATTACCATGGTTGCTTGATGGTTATGGGGAGTTATTTGAAGTTAACCTCAACATCATTCAGTTTTATGATGACTCGGCAATTGATGATAACGAAATTCTTCAATTCCTAAATGATTCAGACAATGGTGTGCAATCTAGATATCCAAATTTTGTCATCATAATGCATCAAACTAGAAAAAACTTATTTGCACCATTATACGTCGCTGCTACTGATGGTTCCTTACAAACTTCTTTTCCAATAAATGATAAAGGCATCATCGAAGATATCTATCGTTTTTTTCAAGAAAGAAACTCTAAAAGTAAGTTTAGACAATATCAAATGTATTCTTGATTTTTTTAAAGTTTGTTAAGAATCTAAAAATTTACCATCCAAAATGTGCAACATTGGCAATAACAATCAATGCATGGAAAATGCTAATAATTCTGAAAGTCAAACTCCTTCAGAATCAAGTAGATATTTCTATTCAATTGATGTATTCTGATATATAGATATATGTATATATATTACAGCTTGTGAAAAGAATATTATGATGCCAGCTAGTGAAGCAGTTGGACATAATCTTCAACTTATTCATCAACTTATTAAAAACTCTGGTATTCCACTGGATCATATTTCAATTCCAATAAACTCAATTCGTAAGATAATTTTCTTATATTAATCGGTTATTGCAAAGCAAAACATATTTAATACATTTTCTTCGACTTTAAAAAATTAATATATATTTCAAGTTTTCAACAAGAAAATATAATATCAACTCGAACAAGTTTCATCATTTATTTTCAAGATTCATTATTTCTTGACAAGTTTTATTTCGAATTAAAGCGTACTCCAGAGTGTTCGAACTATAAATGATATAGCAGTTATTTAACTGTATAGGAATAGAGAATAATTGATTCATTTTTCTTTTCATTGCTATAGTTCCAGCATTGAATGCTTTTGATCAATTGTCTAATAATGATACAATCAAAATAGTAGCAGATAAGTTCCATTCAATCTTGGAACTTCTTCAAGTTGCTAAAAGTCCTTCTCGTGGTGAACATTTTTCTACGAAATCTTTTAAAATTTTATCTTTTTGTATTTCCACAGTGGAAGAAGTTGAAGCGAGTTCATCAATAGGCATTTATAGCAACCAGAATTCTTCGGGTAAATCTAAAAAAATAGAACTGTTTGCATATAGAATTTATATCATATTATTAGCGTCAAATAATACGAAAAACACTAAATCTTCAAAACGAATTCGTACCGATCAATCTCCATCGAGTGAAGCCCAATCATCCACTAATTCGAAGCGTCTAGCAACATCTGAAAATAATCAAAAAAGCAGCACGCTAATATTAGACTACGATCCGCCGGAAATTTTACGAGAACCTGCTCGATATCAACATGTTCGCATGTCGAGTGATCTTAAAAAGCGTCAACTTCAGATAATTCAAGGAGGTGGTCAAGATGCTCGACAACGAACTCATGTTATGGTTAAAGTAAATAATACTATATTCATTTGAACAACTACTTTCCTTTTAATTGAAGGTACCTCCAAACGATGATTGTAAAGAACTTTATCTTCGTGTTAGACCTGTTACAGTGAACAATGATATACATCTTTTCAAAAGTGTAGTGCCGCAGAAACTACCGACTGGTAAATCATCAACTAGTAATGGTGATGGTGGAAGCTGTTTACTATTGGATAAGAATTATGTCAATCAAAAGGATAAATGTACATATCTTCTGATTAACAGTGATGAACGCGACGCAGAGAAAAAAGAGTAGGTTCCCATTTGCATATATATATATATATATAGATATGTATATTTAATGGAAGAGTGAGGGGGAATCCAATAGTCTATAGAAAGATTTAGCCTTCTCCTGCTCTCTCTGCATTGGTTATTAAAAATAATTCGTTCTAATTTCAGAATATTAGCCCATCTAATTACTCTGAAACAGCAAGGAACTGAAGAAGAAGATTTATTCAAAAAGGAAAATATTCATAATATATGTAAACTTGAATTTTGTTTCTGCACTCCATTGGATTCTGATAAATATGAATCCGTTTCAAATGTTGCCTATTCGACAGTTATTGAAGATGGTAAAATTTATTTTGATTTGAGATACTGCTATAAATTTCATGTTAATTTATTTTAGGCGATGGCCCTGTTAAAATCGATTCAGATATCAGTCTAGAAAAAAAATTATGTGAACGAGGTGGTCAGATCATAAATTTTGGATTAAATGTTAAATGTCTCAAAAAAGGTAGGATTGCAAAATTAGTTATTCAACCAAATTTCACAGTACATTTTTGTAGGCTTTTCTATTTTATGCAATGATAAAAAGCTAAATAACCAAAAATTCAAAATAAACGAAAAAAATCTATTGATCATCACACCTACAAAAACGTCAACCAGTCCAAACCTTCGTTTAATCATCTCAAGAATGGAATATGAAGACAAAGAAGAAAGATTAACAGAAAAAATACTTTACAGTCGTACTTTTGAATATGTATTACATGATAGTAAGAAAAATAGTAATGATGATTTCTTCGAACAAGATATTTAACTAATTTTTTCTTTAGGTCAATCTTCACACGCCTGTGGTCAACACAATTCTTTTTGAAAACAAAAATTTAACTTCATGAACCATTCCGAAAAAAACCATTGTTAGCTATGAAACTTCTTTTATTATTCTAACAGCAATATCATCGTAAAAAAATAGTAAAAATTAATCTAGTTGAAATTTTTCTCAGTGTTTTTCATTTCTCTAAAATTTATTGTTTGCTAAAAACCAAATGAGTTGTTAATAATTTTTTGTTACGTCATGTCGTTTTGTTTTCTTTTTAATCTGACATTGTGTTTTTGACCAAGTCACTGATTAGAAACAGTTTTATCCGTAAAATTAGATCTTAAATGAGAATAAATATTTTTTTTGAAGAATTTATTAATTACTTTTGAACTAGTTCATTTCTATTGCTAATTATTGCCATATTATATGATGTTTAACTTCAATTACTTTTTCTATTATTCTCAAATAAAATATTTATGAACGTCGAACGACATAGGCTTTTAAAAATAAATACTCGATGTACCGAATTGAGAATTGGATATGCTTTACTGTTACTGAATTGGAACAGCTGAGTCATACTAACACGAACTATATTACTCATTCTTTGTTTTTTTTTTCAATGTGCATACTTGTGTATACTTGATGTCACTACTCTGAATAAATAACTTTTTATTTTACTGATTTTATTTATAGAGCATGTTTCTTAAGTAATGTCATATCAAACAGTGTTTGAATTTTCAAATATTTATTTGAGCTGTATCGCCTTCGTCAATGGGCAATTTAAAATCATTAATAAATAACCTGTTTTGAATTAAAATGAACTACAGACACAAACGTTTCGTTATACTAAATGGTGATGATAGGATCTGCGGCCCATTATTTGCTTACGATTGGAATGAGGATATACTGGCCATTTTTATTTGAATGATAAAATCATTGATCACTATGTTGACAAATATCTTGATGAACTCAATCGAACGGGTACATTTTATTGTTTGTAAAATAAATTAATAATATAAATTTTTGAATAGATAAAAATTTATTTTCTTGAATCTTGAGTGAAATTTCTTCATCAGAAGATGATGTTAATTTACGTAAATCCAAATATTTATGTTAACATCAATGATTTTCGTGTGATATTTTAGAAATTTTTATTTTACACCCAACAATAAAAATGAACGTCATACCGGCGATGATCAAATGGGACAAAAAATTCTTAAAAAAAAAACAAATCATTGTCTAGAACCAATACTATCTGATTATCAAATCAAGGACCTAGTTGATACTCAAGCGTCTTCACCAACTCATTTATCAAACACACCGTAGTTCATAAAATCGGTTTTCCGCCATCATCAACAGGATTTTTGTACGGAGAACCAGAAATTCTTATACCACCAGAAAAAGATTGGCATTCTCCATATCCAAAAGATATAATGCCAACGTCAACAAGTCAATACACCAAAAAAGAGTCACATACACAATGAAAAACAAATAAATTAAAATTATCGGGCTTCTACAAAGTTTTGGTGGTCAACGTACTTACATTCGAGCGAAAGTAACGAATTAATTATACTTAAAGGCTAGGTAACTAACATCTTTAATATATCGTATAGGTTGATTCTAAATCCATGCAACCGATTTATTTTGGTACTGCCGTTCGAATTATTATTAATGGTTATCATCGTTTAAAAGTCATCGTACCAAAAAGGACAAACGTAAACAAAGATCGTTTTAACAAGGAGAATCATCTCAATTACGTGGAATTCAATGAGTATGATCGAAAACATTCCTCCGATTTCGATACATGGAAATTACCTTGGAAGAGCATGAATAAAAATGGCAAGAGTAAATATGCATTATAACATAGATCTTCTGTTATTGATTGTTTATATGTTTAAAAGGGTACCAATATACATGTTTAATATATATCACAGTCAACGATTAACAAAGAAAATAATTCAGAAGGAACACCTTGATAAATGTAAATTAGCTTTTTGGTTATGTATTAAGGAAAGTGGAAAATAGTTATAAGCCTATTTCTCCTGAATCATTATCTTGCATAGTTACTAAAACTAAGATTCTTACTTGATTTTCTTCTTGCTAATATTTATGTGTCTAGAAAAAACGTAAATAAACTTATGTCAATCCATTCGATTGAATGAAAATGAAAAATAAAGCAAATATCACCTGGAAAAGATGTGTGGTGAAATAATGGCCGTATCGAATGCAGTGTGCTCTTAACTTTGTCTTGTCATTATTTATTTGAAACGTGTTTTCTTATCTTGCATGCAAATATATTTCAATTGTTGTTTTTTTTTCCTCAAATGAACTCGTTTTAGTCTGATCAAACAACTATTTTTGAGACATACAAAAAGAAACACCTTGTGAATTATTTTCAATAAAAAACAACAACTCGAAGGCAGAAAGACTATATCTCCGACGGATTGTCTGAATCAGACTACATCAGCAATTAAATTTATAAATAATATGTCATTTGTTTTTTATGGTCTTATTAACATTTATTTCAATTTCTTTTCAGCTCAATTGTTTATGAATTTAAAACTTAAAATATTTGACTTGTGTTCTTGAATTCTATGTATTTTGCAACATGAGATCGTAACAGAAGTTCATATTATAGTTTTCAACACATGCCAAAATTCAAAAATAAAACGAAAAAAATTTATAGAGTGTGGATGTTAATGTCTGTTAATGAGCATCCACATTCGAACCTATACTCTAGACGAGAAATACAGATTATACTGAGTAGCAATGGTTATGATGGTTCATAAGAAGTCATTAAACAATCGATAATCAAATTCTTATTCTTTTGCTTGTATTCATTTTGACGACAGAAAAAAAAGTAATTCTCGTGAATAGAAATTGAACTCATGTAAATAAGCTTTTCTATGTGTGTCAGTCATTGATATATCGGTAGTTTGAATAAAGAAATACAGGGTGGCCCAAAAGTCATGTTACCCAAAAAAAATTAAATATCTTCCTTACGGCTTGAGCAAAGAAGCTGATTTTTTTATCAATGATAGAGGCATCCTCAGGCTTTATATCTATAAGAACAAGGTCAGGAAGAACCCATATTAAGTAGCACTAATGAACTCAACAAAGAAAATTTCACTTTTTCACAGATAGGAAAAA